CAAAGTTCGGGGACTAAGATGTAAATACTTAAAAGTTGTGCCGAACCTCACGATGAAGATTTGAGAGTGCTCGGAGTCAATTGGATAAAGGAAGACGTCAATGGAATCAAATTTAGTCAAAAGATGATCACAAATCAACTTCCAACCGAAAAGTTATGTTCGGGTGTTTTAGTCAGGAATTGATCGAATTGGAGAATGATGTCTGAATTAAAGTTGTAGCCAGATGAGTTAGCTTTCCAATACATTTTTTATCTCCTCAATAGGATATCGAAATACAAAGTTATGATAAAAAACTGAAGGAAGGTGCAGCTGCCTGTTTAAAAAAAGAAATTCCGTTAAATAGTCCGTTATGTTGAAACCTATTTTTGGCATATAAAGTGGTCGAATTGGAGAATGATGTCTGAACCAAAGTTGTAAGTAAATGAGTTATATTTTCAACGCATTTTGAATTGCCTCAATCGGATATCGGAATACAAAGTTATGATAAAAACACTGAAAGAAGGTGCAACTGCCTGTTCAAAATAAGAAATTCTGTTACATAACCCNTTTTGGCATATAAAGTGGTCGAATTGGAGAATTATGTCTGAACCAAAGTTGTAACCAAATGAGTTAGATTTCCAACGCATTTTGAATTGCCTCAATCGGATATCGGAATACAAAGTTATGATAAAAATACCGAAAGAAGGTGCAACTGCATGTTTAAAACAAGAAATTCTGTTACATAGTCCGTTATATTGAGACATATTTTTGGCATAGAAAGTGATCGAATTGGAGAATGATGCCTAAATCAAAATTATAGCCAGATGAGTTAGCTTTCTAACTCATTTTGGATCGCCTCAATCGGATATCAGAATACAAAGTTATAATAAAAAATATTGAAAGAAGCTGCAGCTGCATGTTTAAAACAAGAAATTTCGTTACATGGTCCGTTATATTGAAACCTATTTTGGGCATAGAAAGTGATCCAATTGGAGAATAATGTTTGAATTAAAGTTGTAACCAGATGAGTTAGTTTTCCAACGCATTTTGAATCGACTCAATCGGATATCGAAATACAAAGTTATGATAAAAACACTGAAAGAAGGTGCAGCTGCCTATTTAAAACAAAACATTCCGTTACATAGTCCGTTATATTGAGACATATTTTTGGCATAGAAAGTGATCGAATTGGAGAATGATGTCTGAATCAAAGTTGTAGCCAGATGGGTTAGCTTTCCAACGCATTTTGAATTTCNAGGAATGTGCAGCTACTTGTTTAAAACAAGAAATTCTGTTACATAATCTGTTAAAACAACAAATTCCATTAGTTTTTCCGTTAAACCAACAAATTCCGTTAAATAGGCACTTTTTATATATAGAAAGATATGTGGCCCAAGTGGGAGATTGTTGGGTTTATTAATTTTTTATGTTGGCCTACATATGTAATTAATTGTATATAAGACTATCTTAAAGTTGAGCCCAATTAAAGTGATCTAATAAAGAATTAAATTGTGGGCTTAGGGCATCTAAATAAAGTGTGTGCCTAATTATGTGTAAGATCGGATCCATTAGGGTTGTATTGGAAAATGGGCCAAATACATATGAAAACTATATATATGGTTATTGTCCACAATTTATATGTAACTTCTCATTTTTTGTATCATCACATGAATACAAGAATATAAGGGAAAATATATTGAAAAATGAAGATTCAAAGCTCACAATCAAGAATAATGATTGAAAAAAAAATCTAAAAGAATGATTGGAGCAATTAAATTGAAAAACAAGACAATTAAGATTATGGAGCAAGAAGCAAAAATCAAGAACAAGAACTCGAGAACCAAAGGAGCAAATAATCAAAATTTAAGAACCGGAATCAAAATTCAGTATTAAAGAATCATTCACAATTAAGGTATGTTCCGCGTTATTAATTTTCTTGATGATTTGACGTGGAAGTTGTTGTCAATAAAGTAATTAGGTTTTCAAATTTTAAAGTTTAAAGTTTCATAAAGTTTAACGTCTGTATGATCCTTCAAATCGCTATAAGGCTTTGTTTAATTGCCACATTTTCATGGAAAATGTTACATCGGAGGAAAATGAATTATACTTTGGCCGTTTGATTGCAACGTGAAAATAGAAACCGAATTTTAAGGTACAACCACGTTAAATTGTATTTTTTTTTTTCATGGAAAACGAATTTCTATGGATTTGATGGATTTTTATTTTCCAACTAACATGGAATTGTAATTTCTTTCCACATTTGTCTGTCAAATGGACCCTAAGTGTTTTGAAAGATTGATTTGAGATCAATTTATCGTCAACCGATGAATAAGAGAAGCAACAACCCAAAGAAATCTTTTAAGGCTCACGTCTAACCTTTTGAATTTATAGTTATGCCATCCAGGCTAACGAATGATCCCGTAGTTTTAAAAACAATGTTTTTCCAAAAATGGCNATTTATAGTTATGCCATCCAGGCTAACGAATGATCCCGTAGATGTCCAAACAATGTTTTTACAAAAATGGCCACCAAACAGGGGTAATTGATTGAATTCTTCATAATCTCCAAATAACTAGTGTATATTTTTGAGATCCATTTTTTCGATAAGTTTTCTGCAATTTTTATATCCCAACATATTGTGTAGAGAAAAACTTTTGCTACAAAATGTTATATGGATGCAGAGATCTTTTGCTTCTTTCCTCCATTAAATATAATTTAAAAAGAGAACTTGATTAATAAATTAATTATAAATAAAAAGAAAAAAAAATGATCAAAGAAAGCAAGAAATGAACTCCTCCATTAAGCAGAAACAAACATCATTCTATCAGCAAAGAAATATCAAGACTATTAGAATTGTATACATCATTGATTCTATCAGCAAAAAGACATTGTAGGTTCTGATTGTTGTTCCCAAAGGATGTCTGGATTTCTTGAAAATGAACCGGTATAATGCAGAAACAAATTTGGAATTCAATGAACATCATTCTATCTGCCAAAAAATGTTACTTTTTATGATTCTTTTTCCCATTGAGGTGCTCTCCTGAAAATGACCGGCTTACTCTGGATCAACAGTAGCTCCTCTTCCCATCGTCCCATATCACATAAGGAAAGAGTGATATTGAGAATGTAATGATTCCCAACTTTGAATCTCTTTCATTTTGCTTGGGTACGTAAAGGCTCTCAATGCAGTTGTTCCCAAATCGCCTAGTCATAATCCAATAGGAAATTCCATAACTAGGTTTATATATGCGTGTAACTACAGCAATTTTCTACACATTACAATAATCAAGGAATATATCAAAAGTATCTAATTCTATAATACTTATTACCTGGTAAAGTAGTCGTGAATTTCTTGCTTGGAGATAGTTGGGAATGTAATGAAAAATTTCATGAACAAGGTCCTTTTAACCCGTGGTGCATCTACTATAGGACTGAAGGGCTGGGCATTCGGGTTCAGTTTAGACCCGGATGATTCTCCTAAAGTATTCTTGCCTTTAACTTTGCCTTTATCCATGGATATGAGACTCCAAGAAATGTTTGTATAATCTAGAATTCTTCTTGGTTCTCAAAAGAGCAATTTTGAGACTACAGTTTTTCTCTACACAGCAAGAAAAGTCTAAACATTATGTTGCGTCTCGTCTCCAAGGCTTTAAGTCGATGTGCCACGTAACAATCCACATGGACAAAACGTCAACAGAAAAGAGTACAAAGACTCAAGTGATCAAAATACAACGAGGTTGTGCAGATTATCGAGGTATTGCTTCACCCAGCGAAGCTCAGCACCTAGGATGAGACGCTACTTATAGAAATGAAGAAGGAGCTTAAGCTCTCTACTCAAAGGACTGGTTTCGAGGCTCTTAGTTCATCCGAAACTCATAAGCAGATGTTGTCTCTTGCGAGATATTTGAGTATCTTTTAGAAATGATTGATATAACACTTGTAATAAAGAATGTCAGCATATTGTGCAGGGCAGGTGACCACTTATCAATGTATTAATTGTATAAATAGACAATGATGTGATGTCTCAACTTAGGAGATGAGGCCACGTGGTTCTGATCCAACGGATACCACGTTGGCCAAGACAGTATAAATATACCTTCTTTGTAACTTAGAAGGGGTTGGAAAAATTGGAGTTAGAATTATCTTCTTGTCATGTCTTCAACTCTCAAATATGGAATCAAGAAGAAATATGATGAAATTTTCTTACAAACGATTGTATTTCCATTTTACATTATATACTTAGTAGGAAATTTGTATAAGTCAATAGTCTTATAATCTACAATATTCTTTTGTTTTCTATCCTTCCACATATTCTACCAAGATCTTTGGTTAGTAGTTTTTTTCTTGTTTGGTGATCATTGTTAGCGTGATCACCTTTGTTTCATCCGTCGGAGTTCGAACATCTTTGTCTCTCGCCGTGAAGCACTCCTCGGTCCAAATCTGCCTCATTTCTCATCGTTTTTTCCGGTAGAAACGTGCCGGGATTGGTTCGACGTGACAACAATTGACCCGGCATCTGTTGGCTCATTTTTCGGGGTCAACACATTATATACATATATAGGCATTTCCTTATACTCAACTAAAACCCTAACTAACTAAACTCACTCAAGTCTTGATCTCCTGTAGTCGATTGCAGAAAGTTTAAACCTTTCTGTAATGTTTTTATATCTTTAATTCTGAAGTTAAAAATCGTACTTTGCATTTCTTTGAAGCTGTGCATGCCATAGATAATTTTATTAGACTTCGTAAAATGCGTACATTTATCAAAACACTATCTTGCAAAAAGCTGTACTGAAATCATCTTTCCTTAGAAAAGATAAATGTCAATAATATTCTTATAAACTATAATTATATGATGGGTCATAGTAGCACTTGCAATACAATGAAATCACGTTAAATTATGGATCTCCTGGGATATGAATGACCACTTACCCTTTAATTCAGAAGGGTTGCTTCGTTTGGGAGTAACATATCATACGCTACTGTCATTAATCTTTTAAGTTGCAGAATGTAGAATTTAGAACTAAATTAACAAAACGAAACATGATTAGTTAAACTCAAGAATGTTTAGACTTCAATTTTTCTACATATATCATGCAATAAAAAAAAAGTTGATGTTTTGATTGTAGTTTGCAAAAAACCAGTATTATGTACAAATAATAAAGTATAAGTACAGTATCATTTCCACTCTCTCTATAATTAATTAAATCTAGCCTTAACCAAATTACATCATATTTTGAGTCGTTGTTGACTTTTTAAACAAAACTAACTTAACTAAAAGTATGTTGAGACCCAAGGAAAAGTTTCGAATGTGAAAATGACACTAGAATTTCGATATCACCTACACCTTTTTATTTGCAATATTCGTTTATGTTGACTATCCATGTCCTCAAATTATCTAACATTTTAAAGTAGAGTTAGACCTATTTTGCTTATGAGCTTTCTACATTTTTATATAGGGTAATTAGCACATAATGTCTTCACCTTTCATTGCTATCGTGGAAAACGTCACTACCTTTCATTTTTTGGCATTTTCACTTTTATTTTCATTTTTTATTGCGCAAAAGTTCATTTTCACATGTTTTCTCAATTAAAAATTATGAATTGGCGTATACACCCCTCCCTTTAAATAAATAAAAAAAAAGAAAGAAAAAGAAAAAAATTAATTGTAATCACAATCTCAATTTTTTTTAAAAAAAGTGTAAATAAGTGACAAATAAATTATTAAAAGGGTAATTAGTACATTATGTTCAAATCTTTCGCCGTTATTGCGAAAAACGTTCATACCTTTCATTTTTTTTTATATTTTCACAATTAATTACAAATTTGATTGTGCATATTATCATTTCATCCAATTTTTCAATAAAGAACTATGAAATAATGAATATACCCTCCTATTTAAATAAAAAATATATTTTTTGAACTTCTAATTCTTTAATAATTTATTTGGGACTCGTTTGCATTTTTTTAATTTTTAAATAAATTTNATGTCCTCAAATTATCTAACATTTTTCAAGTAGAGTTAGACCTATTTTGCTTATGAGCTTTCTACATTTTTATATAGAGTAATTAGCACATAATGTCTTCACCTTTCATTGCTATTGTGGAAAACGTCACTATCTTTCATTTTTTGGCATTTTCACCTTTATTTTCATTTTTTATTGTGCAAAAGATCATTTTCATCTGTTTTCTCAATTAAAAAATTATGAATTGGCTCATACACCCCTCTCTTTAAATTTAAAAAAAAAAAAAATTAATTGTAATCACAATCCCAATTTTTTTTTAAAAAAAAGTGCAAATAAGTGACAAATAAATTATTAAAAGGGCAATTAGTACATTATGTCCATACCTTTCATTTTTTTTTTATATTTTCACAATTAATTACACATTTGATTGTGCAAATTATCATTTCATTCAATTTTTCAATGAAGACCTGTGAAATAATGAATATACCTTCTTATTTAAATAAAAAATATTTTTTGAACTTCTAATTTTTTAATAATTTATTTGTGATTCGTTGGAATTTTTTTAATTTTTTTAATTTTTAAATAAATTTAATTGGGACTCTTTTGCATTTTTTAAAAAAATTAAATTTTTTTAATAATTTATTGGGGACTTGTTTGCCCTTTTAAATAAATTGGGACTATGATTACAATTAATTCTGTCTTTTTATTCAAATAGGAGTGTATATTCGTCATTTAGCAGGTTTTTATTGAAAAATTGGATGAAAATGTATAGAAATGATGGTTTGCGTAATCAAATGTATAATTAAGGAAGAAAATGCAAAAAAAAAAAAAAAAGGTAGGGACGTTTTTGACAATAACGGTAAAAGATGTGGACATTATGTACTAATTACCATTTTAATAATTTATTTGTGACTTATTGTCAAAAACGGTAAAAGATGTGGACATTATGTACTAATTACCATTTTAATAATTTATTTGTGACTTATTTGCACTTTTTAAAAAAATTGGGACTGTGGTTGCAATTATTTTTTTATTTTTCTTTTTGTTTTATTTAAAGAGAGGGGTATATTCGTTATTTCATAATTTTTAATTGAGAAAATAAGTGAAAATGATCTTTTGCACAATGAAATGTGAAAATATTGGTGAAAATGCTAAATAATAAAGGTAATGACGTTTTCTACATTAACAATGAAAGGTGAGGACGTTATGTGCTAATTACCCTTTTTATAAACAATACAATAACTAAAAGTCCATATAAAATAACTAAACATCAATAAAAAAAAATAACCCAGATGGACTATAGCGGTACATTTAAATCCACTTCTATGATATAAACATGCATTGCACCTCTTTCCATCTACACATTTCATAAATTATTCAACTGTTGGCCAAATAATTGAACAGGAAAATAAATAATGAATAATCAATCAAAATCTCATACTTGAATTAAAAACAAAAAATTTAATTAAAATTTTAAATGTGTATATTACATAGACGTTCTAGCTACAAAGAGTTTAGATACATATATTCAAAATAAATGAACAAATAAAAGTTGAAATCAACGTGGATAATTAAAAGGGTCTTCAAGCATGAACAAAGACTCCAACTCCTCTTCCTTTTCATATTGCCAAAACCTCTTATGTAAATTCCGTAATTCGATCTTCTCCAAGCTCCCTTATGAAATAGGGTTCTACCAAAAATTAATGCGGACCAAGAATACCCCAAATAATCCGACCAAATATTACACTTTCAGGTTGCTGAACAAGTCTGACTCTTGAGCACCAGCCTTTTCTTGCTCAAGCACCAATACCATGTTACCGGGCAATTTTCATGAAAACAAGCATAAATTTTGTGCATAACTCCAAATTGAGATCCATAAAATATGTTGGGGCCCCAATTGAATTATATTGTCATTGGTATGTCATTTATCATATGAATGTATTTGAAGAAATATTAATATTCAAATTTCTTTAAAGTATTCGATTCCTATATTTTGCTTCTTTCCCTTTCCTTTTCCTTCCAATTCCATCTAAGCTTGCTTTTTCCATCTAATTCCGTGGCAATGACCATAAAACATTGTTTGTTTAAAATTGCGAGTGTATAATGTCAACGAAGAGTAACATATCAAATAAGTTGAATATCGTCCCGCGAGAATAATTGAATTAATGAGTTAATAATTCAAGTACTTCAAACTCTAACTAGAGTAGCCAAATTTCAAGTTTGGAACACATGGAATTGCTTTTAAAATAAAACATTTAATTTGAGATTACATAAAGCCCATGAGTATTTTTCCCAATCGGGCTTTATGTTGTTTATTGATTGGCTCAAAAACATATTTTCAAGAGGAAATTACACTTACACCTGGTTTTAAAATACCATTT